AGAGGTATAAGGCAGTGTAAAGACAGCTCAGGGGTCCTTATGCAACCCCACATTTGTGAGGAATACATGATGCCAGAGACAGCATAAGTGTCCCTGACATGGCTCAGATGGCGAGAGGCCTGTTGAGCCAGCAGCAAATTAGCTCCAAGTCCAGTTTAAGGTTTTTAGAAGCCAGACGGTGTTGTGTAATGCCTCAATTAATTAAGATAAGTCACATTAAAGTCTTTGTAATGTCATAGAAATGCCATCTAGTGTTTTTGTGACTTTCTTATCTGGCTACCACACACATTGAAAGCAGTGGGACACACAATGGCTACTATTCTCTATAATGTTAATGTCAGTGTGAAAAAATACATTCGCCCTTTGGGTTAGTGTAGTAAACAAAATGCTGTCGGACTGCAACACTATATTTTGCCCCAAAGCACTCCCTTTATTTTGTAAACCTGACCTGAATTTGAGTCATCACAAACAAAAATAGGGGAAATTCACACTCTGAGGTTAACTGTTCATGACAGAAACCAAAGGCTCTCAGACCAATGCAATGAAATCTGGGACAAACTCAGTGACTGTATCTTCCTCTCATGCATACCTAATTCAACCTATAGGGAGAATGCAGCTACAAACCCATTCATTAAGAGGAGGTAAACATAGGCTCCATTACTTTCCATAGGTGCACTGTCTTTGTATGTCTTCATATTCATGTTCATTGCCCCTGAAGAGCTCAACTCACAGAGAATCAGGAAGCTAATAAAAGAGGGCATACATCTTCTTTTTTTCCACGCATAATTATGTAACTACCTTCATGCAACACAGCAGCTTGGCATGAAAGCTGCAACCACAGGCCAAATGCATTGTCAATCATCCTTTATGACCAATAACGGTGCTTATTGGACTTCACTCTGGCTCTCACTGAGCCCGCGTTTACAAGATAAACAGAGGAGAAAGCGCTGGTGTTGATGTTACTGAACATGGCTGCAGCTGCTGCTCAAACCACTGTGTCTGAGCGAAACATGTTACATAAACTTGATTCACACAGAGTCCACGTGATGTGTTTGTTATTGTCAGCCCCTGGTGCATGTCTGCCAATGCAGAACAAGACATCAAAGGTAAATATGCTTTTCAAAATTGACCTAAGTGTGTGTAGAGCGTGCTGCCACACATCTTTACAGCTTTACAGGCATGTTATGCTGCAGATTCAGTGCAGAGGAAGCATGCAGGGACATGTAAACAATACAAAAAGCACCTTTAGGGATCAGCTGAATTTGCGTGGGCTGGCATACAGTCATCGAAATCTTCATTTGCCATGTTATGAAAACATGCAGCTCGTGCCATGAGCCAAAACAAACAAAATATGCAAGAAGTGGTGCAATAATTCAGTTTTAATCACCTGGTGATGTAATCCCCCTCCTCCTCGTCGTCAAGTTCACAAAACCATAATTGCACGTCGCGGAGTCTTGAAGTCTCTTTCCTCCCCGCTGCCTGAGCTCAAGTCTGCCTGACGGTTCAGTCCCTCTGAGATGCTGAAGAGAAACCAGCCCGCTGATTGGCTGCCGCCGTGTGCGACGAGCTGTTTTCTTCTTGCCTCGGTGTTGTAGGCTGTGATGGTGCCACAGTGCTCAGTGGAGCGCTCATAAACAAGCAGTAGGAGCTTGGAGCATCTTTTTTTTTGGTGCTCTGGGAGGCGGAGATGAAGGATGTAAACAAAGGGACGTGGATGGTTTTATATGGAGGGTCATTACTGCTTCATTAATAAACAACCAATGTGAAGTGATCATGAGACATAGAGGAGGGAAATGAGGGGCCAATGGTCACATACAGTAGCAATAAACATTTTGAAACTGAGTGCACCCTGACAAGCACAGGATGTCTTAGCGTCCTGGTGGGTCTGCTGGTGGCCAGAGGGGAGCTGAGGTTATTGGGACCACACTTGATATCATGATGAGAAATTACCTTTTGGCAAAAACTGATGTTTCATCGTCCCAAGACTGCCCTCTGAACCTTACTCGTCTGATGTCCAGTGCACTCATGTGTTACATAACCAGCAGTAGCCTAATGGCTGGACATGGATGGACATTATGTAACCTCTAGCCTCCACTGAAAGTTAAAATGATGAAGTATTACCAAGCTCTCATAATTCAAAGACAGAGGTAAGAGGCAAAAACATGCATGTCTGTGAGCAAAAAGAGAGGGCCCAGCTCATGATGAAAACAGCCTGGACTGAGTGAAATCACTCGATGACATAATAGTCTGTCACAAGCTGCATCAATTGCGCCATCCTGTGGTTAATGGCAGCCTCTACTCCATTTGGAGATTGCCAATAATTTCCCTTTTCATGGCAAATACTGCACTGCTTAAAAAAATATGGGAACACTTAATTCACACATCAGATCCTGATGAATGAATTATTCAACTGATGTTCACTGTTAAATTTGTTGAGAACAAAATGATGTAACAAGCAATCAATGGAAGCCACTGAGGGCTGGATTCAAACCGAAAATCAAAGTAAATGCTGGCAAATCCTCTTGCACTGATCTAAAAATAATAATGTGACTCAGCAGTGTGTGTGGTCCCCATGTGCCAGTATACACACCCAACAATATCTGGGCATGCTCCTGATCCTGATAGTGTCCTGAGGGATCTCCTCCCAGACCTGGATCAGGGCATCAGTGACCAGTCTGTGGCGGTGCTTGGAGGTGTCTCATGCACTGATACATAATGTCTCATAGGTGCTCAGTTGGATTTAGGTCAGGGGGACGAGAGGGCCGGTCAATGGCATCAATGCCTTCATCATCCAGGAACTGCCTACACACTCTGGCCACATGACGCCAGGCATTGTCCTGCACCAGGAGGAACCCAGGGCCCACTGCACTAGCATCAGGTTTGACAATTGTTCTGAGGATTTCTTCCTGGTACCTAACAGCAGTCAGGTTAATGTTGGCTATGACATGGAGGTCTGTGCAACCCTCCAACGATACGCATCCCCAGACCATCACTGACCCACCACCAACCCGGTCATGCTGGATGATGTTACAGGCAGCGTAATGTTCACCACAGGGTCTCCAGACTCTTTCACACCTGTCACATGTGCTCAGTGTGAACCTGGTCTCTGCTAATTCTGGTGTTCTCTGGCGAATGCCAATCGAGCCGCATGGTTCTGGGGTAGTCTGTGTCTGACCTGCTGGAGGTCATTTTTTTGGGGCTCTGGCAGTGCTCCTCCTCTTCCTTCTCGCACATACAAGCAGATACTGGTCCTGCTGCTGGGTTGATGCCCTTCTATAGCCCTGTCCAGCTCTCCTGATGTAACGACTGGTCTCCTGGTATCTCCTCCATGCTTTTCTTTTCTTTTTCTTTTTTTAGGGTATTTTTTGCCTTTAATTGACAGGACAGTGAAGCGTGAAGGGGGGAGAGAGAGAGGGAGAGACATGCAGCAAAGGGCCACAGGCTGCTCTACCACTAAGCCACCGATGCCCCATCTCCTCCATGCTTTTGTGACTGTGCTAGGAGACACAGCAAACCTTCTTGCAACCGCACGTATGGATGTGCCATCCTTGAGGAGCTGGATCTAACCTGTGCAACCTGATTGGGCTGCAGGTACCGCCTCATGCTACCAGTAGTGACCAGGACACTAGCAGAACACAAAGCTAGAGAAGAATCAGTCAGGTAGGATAAGGAGAGAGACCACCACATGAAAAACTATTCTTTTTTGGGGGGTTGTCTTGCTTTTGACCATTAAGAGGGACAAAGCATTAATATTTACACTTGTTTAGTTGTGTAATTATAAAATGGCTAAACTGTCCTTTTTTTCTTCTTCTTCCTCTGTTTTTTTATATACCAATAAACCAATACATTTCACTGTCTGAGGGTGATGCTTGCGGATATTTTTTCCTTTCAGATGTAACAAACAATATAAAGAAGAATTATTACATTATTATGAGATGGAAAGAGACATTATGCTCTGGACCATGGCTCAGTGCTGAACAAGAACACTCTTCAACACAGTACACCACCTATACATGTTGTCATGTCACACTTTACATTATGAAGTGGAATTTGATAACTGAAAATGGCATCATTTGTAGAACATTATCAAATTCAAGCCATTAGAACAAAATTACTAAACAATATTCTTCAATTCAAGGGAGGTCACATCACAGACAGACCACTCTGAAACAACAGGATTGTGTAAGATCCACTTCAGCTCTGCTATCTACTTGAACACTGACCTACAGCCCTCTAGTGGTGAAAATATGTGACAGCCTACAGATGGACAATCACTACAAGAATACACAGACAACAGGGACTGCTTAGATTACTCACTGAGGAGTACAGAAAGCTGGTGTGAATCGCACAAATGCCACTGACAGCAACTGTCTGATCTGTAAAAAAGAAAAAAATGTCAATGAAGAGTTTGAGTAGAGATGTAATAGAACAGAATAAAAAACACATACTGTATGTCTAACCTCATTGATGAAATGGCAGTTTCAGCAGCAGCTCAATTCTCCATCGAGGGCCATCACATCCAGCTCAGTAGCTATGAGCATTAATGCCTCCAGGTCCTGTTGATTTAAAATATTGCTGAGCTTCACCTTGAGGAGTAGCGAGGCTCCTTTCACAAGATGGGTGTCTGGAAACATTACCAGCAACACGGTGGACAATTCTTGTGCACCATCTCCACCTCATCTTTATTTCCCTAGTTGAGTATTCTTCAAATCCTGAACTGTTGAACCTATTCCGCTGCCCAACATCACTTGTAATATTACCCTCTAATCTGACTATGTGTTGTTCTGTTGTCAAATTGTGCGTGTTCAAGGCATGGTCCTCTTCAGAGCTACTTTTCAATGACAGAACGATTTCATTACTGTACCTTCCTGTTGGACTACTGAATGTGCAACACCTTATAATCTTAAGACATTCCTCTGTAGACAAGACCATATGATTAGTAGTTAGGATATACATTTTATTTTTACTGAAAATTTTTAGGTGACAATCACTTCCCTGAATGTAGCCTCTTGCATTGATCTGTGCAGTGGTGCTTTTTCTATCTTGTATGGCTGAAATAGTGTGAAATACATCAAAACACAGGGCTTTATCTGGATATCAATCTACAGAGACAATGCTTTTGTGTTTAACTCAACATTATTGTCAGGTATAGACCAATCTGTTGCTGATGAATGGATGTTCATAGGCTGCTGGCAAATCCAACTGGTAGATACCTTCAATATTCAGCTTAGAATATAGATAGAAACTTGTAGAAGCTGGAGGTAGCAGGACATTGGCTGTCTATAGTACCACTGTGAGGTTAAATATGATAAAGAAGAAAACTACATAATGCAGCAAACATGTAAATGTACATGATTTACTATCAAATCTATTTAAAACAGTCACTGAACACAGTTAATAAAAAGGCAACAGAGAGCTGAGGTGTGTGCCCTTTTCAAGCTAGTGTCCGCTCCACTACTTAGTTAGGCAATGTTTTTTGCCATATAAGGCTCTCTCTCTGGCTATCAGATAAAATGACAAGATGCTAAAATTACTGTCAGTACAGTACTTGATATCCATTTGGCTCAGAATATGAACAGTAAACTCCAGTATCCTGTTTCAGCCTTTGAGGAAGATGCCAAAATCCATTAATCTGACTAAGGCTGGTGGAACAGAGACTAACCTGCAAGCTGGGCTGGACTTTGGCTCTCTATGCAAGTCAGTGAGACAAAACAATGCTTTAAATAATTAATTTGTTGTCATAAAACAAATAGTGTAGATAAAAAAAAAAACACGCACAATGATGAGTCTACATCAAACTGCATACAGAATGTCCACTGGTGAAAACAATGTTCCACGATGTGCATCAAACAGTCCTCTGTCCTCATCAACAATGCTCCATGATTGTGTGGCTCTGTTTTCATGAAGCGTGTCTTCATAATAAATAATTCCTCTGAGCAGAACATCCTGATGCTCCACAATGCAGACATCAGTTACTGCTAAGTATCATCTGAAGTCATGATGGAGCTGCCCAGAGGGTCCTGCACTCCAGGAATGTGGGGAACAGTTTTCATGATGCTGCCCTGAGCCTCTTCAGCGTCAGGCTTCCAGCTTTTGGTGTCGCTCACAGACATTTCCCCTTTAAGACAAAGAAAACAAAAAGAGATAAGTATTATTTACACACTGCATGAACTAATATTCCTTGGTAATCCATACTAATAAACATGACTAACAAAAGTCCCGTATAATATGATGGGTTTGTATGCACACTTTATTTTCAGGTCAGATACAGTGAGTGACCAGAAAAGCATACCCCTGTATGTGTATAATGTGAAACTTTTTACAGGCAGTACTCTGTGGTGTTGGATTTGTTTTTATTATATTGTATTGCAGTTCTTATATCTTTCTCCTCCATCTTTATAAATGAGGTCACAGAGACACAGAGAGACACAGAGAAAGGTAAACAACTGTGACAAGTGCAGTCAAATACTTACGTGCCGTCTTCTCTGTAGGATTTTCAGTACCATAATGGAAACTATTCTCCTTTTCTGCCGATTTCCCAAAGCTTTCCAACTAAATCAAAACAGATTTTAATGCAATATTACATACATATAAAGCATGTAAGGTAATTCAAAAAAAGTTATGAGTAGACATGCTTACCTCAGTGCATAAGGACCCCGAAAGTCGGCTTGTGAGTGGGCCTTTATCAGCAAACTTGCAGGTACTGCAGGAAAACCACAGTCGCATTAATGCTCTGTAATATCAGCTGTAATAATGGTGTAAAAAGAACTGTAAGGAATTTGTTTTACCCTGAACTCTGCGATAATGCTGGCTCACAGTCAATTGAGCTCTCTTGATTCTTTAAAAAAGAAAAAAAAAAATTTACACCTGTGACAGACATTTGAGTGACAGTGAGAGGTAAAGGACAGGTCTTACCTGTGGTGTCTTGTTATTAACTTTTGCATCTTGTTCATTTCCTGTTTCAATACTTCTGGCTTCTTTTTGACGCCTCCGCCTTACATAATCATATGTGCTTATGCCTTTATAAACTGTAAAGCCAAGAGGAGAACTGTGAGGATTAATGACTGGATGATGGGGAAAGAGCCTGATTCAATGTCTGTCTTGAAGATTGTGACTCACAGAGGTAAAAGTGAAAGCAAAGCAGATGGCCGAGCAGCAGCAGGCAGGTGATGCTCAGCATGGCTGTTATGAAGGCCAATATAAGGAGACCAGCTGAGCTAGTCTTTATGGGTGCTAAAGGTAAAAAGACCAGCCAGGTACCATTCCCCAGCATACCTATAGAACGGAGAAGCAAAATAAGGACATCACACATACAGCTTTTAATGATCAAAGCTGTTTCTAAGACAGCTCTATATTATGATGACTCACTGTGAAACTGCGGGGCGGTCCGTAGGCTGTTTGGATCCAGGTAATGCTGGATAAAAATGAACAAGATGACAGCGAAGAGCAGGAAGACACCCAGTGTAGCAGAGACCAGTGCCACAAAGAAGCACCTGAGGGCAACACACAAAACCTGATGTTATTTTATAAAGTATTCCACATTTCATTTGAACATCAGCCATGAAGTCAGATACAGAAAGCTCACTAGTTCATCCAAAACTTACCAGTAGTTTCTGCCACCCACACAGTTGTTCAGCCATTTGCAATGGTGGTCAAAGTCTTCCACACACTTGTTGCAAGCACTACAGTGTTTTACTTTGGGGCCACTACATCAAAGATTGAAAATGTTAAACAGCATTGGACACAACTTTTTCCATGACTGCCAAATGATATTGTTGTTTACTTAAAGGCATAGTACACTCAAAAATCCAACATACATATTTTGCCTCCTACCTTTGATTTGAGTGTTGGAGATATCAGCTATAGAGATGTCTGCCTTTTCTCAAGTATAATGGAACTAGATGTTACCTGTCTTTTGGTGCCAAAACCACCAAAAAAATACACTTGAAAAACTGAACAGCAATGTCACTTTCCAGAAATCATGACACGGTTACTAAAAAAATCCACAGACCTTGTTGTGAGCTGTTTCGTGTAGGAACTATTTTCTTTCTACCGAGCTACACCCACTAACTGTATCACTGCACAGAGGGCAGTATGTATTTACTGCTACCTAGCACCACTGAGCTACGTAATGTTACAGCTAAGCTGAGGAGGACGCCATTTATGATTACATCTCATACTGTCACAAGCACAAACCTCTCACCAATGAGTAGATGCACTCTTTCTTTATACAGTTGGTGGGGGGTAGTTTGGTAGAAAGAAAATAGGTCCTACATGAAACTGCTCACAACAAGTTGTGTGGAGTATCTTGAGCAACTTGGTCATGATTCCTAGAAAGAGACGTTGCTATTGATTTTTCCAAATGTTTTTATTTGCACTTTGAGCACCACTAGCTCCATTATATTCAAGAGAAGGCAGACATCTCTATGGCCAGTATCTCCAACACTCAGCAACTCACACCAAAGCACCAAGCACTACAGGTAAGAGGGAAAATGTGCATTTTTGGTTGTGTGGTGAGCCTCCTCCTAAAAAAGCAAAGTAACATTACTGCTTTAGATACGTACACTTTGACATCACACAGATAACAGTGTAGATTCTGGATGACGTGCGGTTGCTTCGTCCGGTCAAAAAGTGGCATTGGACTGGAATATTTCTGTTTTGCCCTCACGCTGACATCTGCGGGGTCTATAGACACAGCAGCAATATGTGCGAAAAAGTGTACAACAAATGCTATGCCCGCCAGCTGTACACAACAAGAGTCAAGGAAAATAGCAATAATATGGGGAAAAATACTGCAATATGTCATAATATAGTTCAGAAAAGCAATGAATAAGAAACTGCAAACTGGTGGACACAAGCGGGCCTTTTGTGTGAGACATTAAATCAATTCTGAAGAAATCAAGTGTTTTTATGGCTGAGCAAAGCTTCAGTTAAATGAACCAGTGTTGACATCACGCAGCATTCAACATGTGACAAATACACCACTGATTATGTCTTTTGGGCCTAATAGAGACCACAGACACGGAGACAGAGTCACGTCTGGTGTGACTGGAGCCCATACAGACAGCCAATACAACGACATCCTTGTTTTGTCCAGCAGCCCAAACAAAACCGTAGCAGAGACTAATGTTTGCTCCATATTCAAAGCTGAAAGAGCCATTGCTGCACACTTAACAGTCAGCTACGTGTTAAGGATACGGCATAGACCACATGGCTCCACGGCAGGGGCAGAAGAGGGATATAGATGCCAAAGCTGACTATGGCGAGGTAGCTGTACACCAGCCAGCCACCCACTTGGAAAGCCTGAAGGGGCCATGACCATCCGTTCATCCTGGGAGGCTTGGAGGGGACCAGCTCATTTTTACTGCCACCACGCATAGGAGCTGTGCGTCTCAGCCTTTGACTGAAGCAGTTCATCTAAACAGCAAAAGAGGAAAACAGACACAGTCAGTTGAGGAAAAACTTCCCCCAGGCACCTTAAATCATCCATCCACATAATACACATACATGCAAGCCTAGCTCTGGCAGAGTGTGGCTGCATTTGCTGGGGAAATGAGTTAGGAAAATAAGGTGAGTATAATGACAGCAGCCATTACGGACTCAGAGTGCATTAGGTGAAGCTTGGCACACCTAATACAGCAGCCTCAGGTGGACAAATATCAGGAATACAATAACACAAGTACCCAGTACAGCCTCCAAAATGACCATAAAGTTGAATCAACACCTTTCTTACCTGTCTCAACAAAAACTTAACATTACAGCCTTCATGAAGGTAATTTATTGTACTAAACTGCATTAGTCTTAAATTACTTAATACACTGGTACAGCTGTGTATTGTGTGGCAGAGGCTATAGATGGTGCCTTATCCACTGCATATAAATAACAAGGGAGATATTGTGACATAGCCTACAGAAAACAGCTGATCCAGAGTAAAAGTGCTTCATCCGTTTCTCTGTAAAAGTCCTTATAAAAGCACAGGTTTTGCCCCTGGCCTTCCGCCTGACACTACACTGTGCAAAAGTTCATTAAATATAGCAAAAAAAAACCTGAAAAGGAAATAACAATGTGTGGGCTTTATGACAAATAACAATGCTTTTATTCCTCACTGCATCAGACACTGACTGAAATTTAATAAATTTCTGGCTGTTGGTGTTCCTGACCGTTGGTTTTAATGTCTGCGTAACAACTAACGTTAAAGCACCTACCGTTGGCTAACTGTAAGTTAAAGGTCGTCTGCTTTAACGCTAGCTGACCCCGCATTGTGTTAAATTAACAATTCAAACAACATTTATACGGCTTAAAATAAACAAGTAATGCCAACTATTACATATAGATAATAGGTGTGTGTGAAGTTGTATACCACGAAGAGTGACTTACTTTTGCCGTTAAAAAAGCGACCATGAGATCAAATCAATATGCTCCTGATGAAATACAAACGGAGATTTCCACCGCTTGATATCCCATGATTAGTTTTTCAGCCAAACAGGTGCTTTAAGTAAAATTCACATGGTGAATACAGACAAAAAGCCAGGACAAAGCCAAACGATTGAAAAACACTCGATATAATTGATGAAAAGCTCCTCCGTCCTTGTATTTGTGTCACCGGAGGACGTGAATCAGAAGTTGAAGAATCAACTCAGTCAGCACTGCAGGTCGGAGCGGCGCTATGGAAACTGCTCAGCTGCGCATGCGCGCTGCAGCTCTCTTCAAGATACCCAGCGTTTTTTATTGTGGCCTTTCACAGACTGGATAAGGCGCATGAAGCATGAAGCCTGCTTATCAAACTCACAGGCTTTGCAGCTCTTTTGCACACCTTTAGGCTCATGAGAATAAAAATAGGTAGGGGATCTGTTTCTCATGAGAGAAAAAGGGAACAGATGTGCACGACACTTCTGCTTTCAAAAATAAAGCCAAAGTCTGTCGTGGCTGTGACTTTCAGCAAGTTTCTCTTGTAACATTATGCTGAATGTAAATGTATTCTACGTGCATATAGCTTTAGTTTCACTTCCCCATTGTGTCTTCCCAAAGGGAGACATCCCACAGTAGCAAATGTTGCTCAATTACAGCAGGAGTGTGCAGTGCATCTCTACTACAGCTGTATGAACTTATCTCTTTTATTGCAAATGCTCTGAATTTGAATGCGTATTTATGGTTGACAGTTCCCTCATTTACATCTGCTCAAACACTGTATGTAATGCAGTTTCTTATTTGCTCATTGAGCCACACACATTTAGAAGTCCAGGTGCAAGCATTTATTTTTCAAGTGTTGCACTCATACAAAAACATAGGATTACATTACATAACAGTCTGTACAATCAGCTTCAGTCTTTAAAACAGGTAAGAGGCTCCTGCTATCTCCAAAGTGTTTGAACAGTCCAAGGCTGAGTACCCAGTGTTGTTAACACCAGGATAACAAAATGGCATTGTGTGTGGTCAGCTGTTGGCTGTGTTCTCTGGCTCTGGAGATTGCAGAAACTCGTAGGGATCATGTACCATTTCAGACTGGTCCCCGACACCCAGGTGCGATGGGCTCCCTGTGGAGAAAAGAAAATATAGTCATGTTGTTGCACTGGTGTTAATGTTTAATGGAAAACAATGAACATTTTGAAGAAAGGTGGAGGTGTAACATTCGGTTGATATCTACCAAAAAGTTGAGCAAAACAGTATTATGGCTTTTAGTCAGCTAATCACAATACGTTGTCTAAATTTGATATAAAACACGTTAGCAGTGCTCCTTTCTAAGCATTTAGTTCTTTAGTCTCACTCCTATTGTAGATACCTAAGTGGTGCTGGTCCCTCTCTGATGCATTTGAGAGGGAGGACAGGTTGGACGATGGTCTGGAGCCGACTCTGTCGACCTGAGTCTCCTGGAATTCCTGCATGAGTTTGTCTGCGTCGTCAAAGTGCTGCTGGCCCTCTTCGTTGCCCGGCTCTTTTTTTACTGCTTTACCTGTTAGAGAAAGAAAGAAGATCATTGTAGGACATTTAAGGAACGAAGAACCACAGTTTCAAGCAGCAAAGACAGAGTGGATCATCATATTCAACAATACTCTGATGTGTAAATCAAGTAGTTTGACCGCTGTGTCTTTCAAAATGTTGTAAAAACTCTGCCTGAGCATTTTAATAGGATTAAGATGATTACATGGCTGTAATGCCCTTAACACTGCAACACTTCTTACTCTCTTACTGCGACTAAGGGCCTAATACTGTTAATGCAAGTTCAGCTTTCCCATGGACTTCTCCTTACTACCTTAATCAAGTTATGGCTGGATTATTGGTGTACATGTAAATGCAGCCACTCAGACTACTGATGAGTACAATCACCTAATGAGTTCAGCATGGATATATCCAGAGACATATCAGGATAGTTCTTCATTGACATGAAGTCCAGGACTGAGCCACTCTCTCCCAGGCCAGTGCCATCTGCCATCTGAACAAAAACACAAACCTTCAATTAAACAGTCAGGCAACTCTTTAAATGCACCATCACCTTTTCACAAACTACAACATACCTGCATGTCACAGATGTTGGATTTGGTTTCATCTGGTTTTAGTGTGATGTTTCTTTTCTGAAATGTAAAATAAGTATCATACACATAACAGGTCAGAAGCCAGACTGTGGTAGAATTGGTCAAGAAAACCCTAGACACTGAGAGAATGATGAAAGTCATGTGTGTAATAATGTATATTGCTGTATGTTAAGTAAAGATCAGATACCTGTCGGATTTGACCAACAGCTTTAGTGTGATCGTCTGCTGTCATCTTGTCCAGAAGCCTGTCAACCCAGCGCTTAGTGACACCTCCGCAGCCCTTAACAAACTCCTGTATACTTTGGATGAAAGTGAACGTATTACAAGCTGAAAACAGATGCAGATTATTTTCACTAGATCAATTTAAATCAAAGTCCCTCTACCTGAGAGCACATTGTACCCCTGTGTCGTCTCCATAGGCTGAATAGAGCGTGTCCACCTCATCGGGTAGCAGATCTGGAAAGATGGAGTTCTTCTGGAGGGTCTGAACGTTATATGCACTGCTCAGAAACGTCACTACACAGAGCAGGAAAAAAAGCATAATCTGTCATAAGCCATAGACTTTGTGGCACATTTTGTAATTGTCATTAATTAGATTAAAATGACTAATGTGAATTAAATCAACAAAAGTGCATGTTAAGCCATACCTTTGTGTCTCCTGTCATCTTTGAAACCCAAGGTTGTTAATCCAGGCAGAAGTTTATTTGACAGAGAACTCAGGTCCACTTTATGAGTCTCCTCTTCTGTAAAATGTAATAATTATTAATTATTATATTAATGTAGTACAGATCGTTTTTCAAAGATGTTTTAAAGACTAACACAGTGATTACAAACCTTCTGCATCAGGATCAAGCTGATTTACAACATTATATAGAAGAGAACCGTCTTGCTCCTTACGCAAGTAGCCCATCTAAAGACACAAAACAGACAAAATATATTACGCCTTACTACCACTTTGTCATTTATTGTCATAAAATATACCGTAGCCATATCTGGTAGAAAGAGTGTGTATAGATGAAAATTTGTATACAATAAGCTACTAGGAAAACCTTAGAGTTGGGCATGTATCTGTTGATCCGATCCCGAGCTTCATCTGCAGAATGCTCGACGAGTGCGAGGACATGCTCTTCTGCTGTACTGTCAGTCAAGCTGCAGGCGTTTCCCTCTGGTTCAAACAGGTAACTGAGACACCAGAAGTGACATGTTATCAGATCATTATATTGACAGGGTGCTGAAACAAAGAACATCAAATGCTTAGAACTTCCCTACTGTTCTTTCTGACTACATTTCATTCCTTAAGGGTCCCGTGTGTAAGATTTAGTGGAATCTAGCTGTGAGGTTGCAGAGCTGAAACTTGAGCCAGTGTTTGTTTTGTCTGTTCTGGGCTATAAAAGTCTTGTTCTAAGGTAACATTAAAACGACAATTCTTATTTTCAGATTATAAACTAATGAAAACATAGCTATAAATATTATATACCATTTGCCCCTAAATCCTACACACTGGACCTTTAACTAAAAACAGACAGCCATATTTCATCTGGATATTACAAATAAATAAAATACCTGATGACTTCCTTCATGTCTTTGACTGGTTGTTTCTTGGACTTCTTAGCTGATTCCACTGGTATAGGGATGATCTCTGCTGGAGGTATATCAGCTGCAAGGTCTTCATCTCCCAAAATCGCTGCCTGCTGGGTGAAGTCCATGTCCTGCATGAAAGACATGCTGCGTTTCAGAGCCAAAAGCCGGTCCTGCACACAGGGCAGAGGAAAAGGGGCAACACTTAACTTGACTGCTTAACTGGGGATGTATGGATAAGAGGAGAAATGGAATAGAAGCGGATGGTAAAAAGTTGCTGATGATTACAGTGATGTTTTAAGGCGAAATCTACCCTTAAACAGAATGACATATGAAGTCAAATCATATCATCCAACACTTTCATTTCCAATGCCACTGGGTGATGAGCTTTGGACCTTTGACAACTGTCAATCATGAATGACTTCCTGTCTTGACTTTGTTTGGGTTACTACATCCAACTGAGTTTTGTGTGTGTATTGGGCTCATACTGCTCAGCTGCTGGAAAGTACAAAATGTCATGGTGCTTTGAATATATTCCATTATTCACTCTATGGAGCAGTGCCAAGATTTGAGTCTAGGTGACATCATTACTACAGTCTTTCTGTCTGCTGCTCAATTTATTCAAATTCACAATTCAAAATTTAAATGCAAAATTTATGGAAATATATATTGTAGGGAGACTTTCTCTTATGGGGCTTGACACAAGGCAAAGTTGTTTATACGTTGACATATTACACTGACAATTTGATCTATTCTATTGAAGTATTTCAGGTTGAGTCAAAATACATGTCTGTAGTGAAATGTTACCTGTAAGAACATGATAAAAAGCTGAGGTGAAACACTAATACAAGTGTCTCAGCAGATCACTTCGGTGAAGTAAAACCTCAAGACAGCTAATGCGGACAAAGATTGTGTCATGAAAAACATCTAGGATAATTCATTTGTTTATTTGTAGTCCATTTGATCTCATTACCTTGCTCATCATCTTGAATCCTGTATGAAGCAGTTTCTTGGCAGCCTTGTAATAGACAGTCTCTGGTCGGTTGTACACCATGGCGTTGTCACACATCAGTTTAAAGTCCGCCTGAAGGCAAAAAAGTGTTTCAACAGGTGTGAAGGCGAACTTAGTTTAAACATGTTTATTATAATCCCCACAGAAATACACAGTCATCATCACAACTCTCTCTTTGTGTTGAAAAGCATCCCCACCTTGAATTCTGTAACCGTGTTGTAGTCATTGTTTCTAATCTTGTCTTTCATGGTGCTGAAGTCCATTGGATGTTTGATGATCATTGAGTAGCCAGGAGCAATGGCATCTGTTACTGGGAATGAGAAGAACCCGTGGGGGTCTTTCCTGCACAGACAAGTGATTCATCATGTTATTTACAGCACCAACCTTTAGATTTGTTTAGACTTGTCTTTTTGAGTGTTCTCATCTGATTGTGCCAGTGCATGTTATCTCTCAGGTCAATATGATCAATATGA